ATTTGGAAGATTGTCTTTACTCGAGTTGATGCAGCTCGGTGAAATGGCAAAAATTATAAAAGCATACAACTTATGTCACCATGAATTAGATTATAAAGTATCTGAAGAATGGCATTTTTTTGCTACATCACATAGAAAGAGTGGGTGCAATGGCGTTGGGGCCACTGTCAAAAGAGGTGTAGCTAAGGCCAGTTTACAATCACTTACAGATCCTTTCAATTCACCTGAGAAAATGAATGATTAGTGTAGTAAAAATATCAAAGGAATTCATTTTCAATAGACTTCAAATGATGTAATTGTATTACATTGGATAGAGTTTAAATTAGAAGAATGTTATGGTACTTGTTCAACAATTCCATGAACAAGAAACCGCCATTGTTTTATACCTCAATCATTATCTACTTTAGAGATGAGACGGGTGTCATTTGACAATATATATACTAATGAAATTTTCAGGAATTGCTTTACTCATTAATAATAAGAAACCCACTAAGTTTTATCAAAATCTGAGGTGGTCCATGTTGGACCCTGGTCCAGTTGGCATAAAATGCCTCTAATGCTAATTAGTGCATGGAAGTAGATTGTTTTAAACAAAATCCAAACTAACTGTGGTAGAGAACTTAGAATTATTAAGAAAGTGGTAGATATCAGAGTAAATTAATTTTTAAAGAATTTTGCTGATATTTAATAATAATATTGGTCTATAGTTATTACAGTCAAGTTTTGAGTCCTTTTTATGGATTGATTTAACGCATGCAATTTTTAAAATATTATGGAATATACCAGTAGCTAATGAGAGATTAAATTGTTTTGAAAGTACAAGAAATCTCATTACCAAGAAGTTTTAGAATAAAGGCTGGAGTGCTGTTTGGACCAGATACCTTGCCATCATTTAGAGAAACACTTATATTATTTCATTTTTTTCAGTCGGTTTAATGAAAAGAGAGTCAGGGTTTATTATTTTTAAATACTTATGGAAGTAGTTGTTAATTAACATTAGCATGAACAAAAATAAGGTATAAACTGATAATTAAATGAACTTGGATGTTTATCAAAATATAAAACAATATTTAATAATAATAATAATTTTTAACTCAACAAAGAATGCACCCAATGCACAATCTTGTTAAAAAAATGAAGCAATTTCAATATATTTTAATCTAAAGTAATAAAAAAAAAAACAGTTTAAGAACAAACTTAATCATTTTAAAAATATATAAATTCACATACCTTTAAAAAGAAGCAGAGAAGCATGGAGAAGCATAATCATTCTTTTTTGACTACTTCCAGCAAATTTTTTTTTTCTTTTTTTTTTTTTTCTAAAAGAAAATAAACATAGATACAGAGAAATATAAAATATACTGAAAAATACATATGTTTATGTATTATCTAGTTTTTATAGTTAAAATACAATAAAATTGCAAAGCAACATAAAAAATACATTAAAATATACAATCAAATGCAACAACAGCTATTAGTGAATTGTTCAACATATATAGAATTCCAACTCAAAAATAATAAATGATAAAACTTACTCAAATTGCTGTCAGTTTGCTGTCAGTTTGCTGTCAATCAGTTTGCCTGTCTAAAAAAATTTAATCCTTCTAATTTTATGCAAAACAAAAACTAATAAATAATAAAATGAATCAATGAGTTACCAGAGGTAGCTGATGCAAAGTTAATAATGTTGCACAGCAACAAAGTAGATTTTTGCCGAAAGGTTGACTTTTTAGGGAGGCAGAAGCTGTTGGCAGTGGCCTTCTAATAAATTTTAAATGCCAAAATGTGTTTTTTTTTTTTGCCTTTCTATTGGCGACCACAGCCAGAGTTTTTTTTGGAGGCAAAATATTTTGGAGACTGATGTCCATAGGCGTCAGCCATTGATTCTTCTGGAGGCAGAAGCCATTGATGGCTGCCTTCAGAAGAATTTTGAGAAGTAAAATTATTTGGAGGCTGCCTCCAATGGCTTCTGCCTCCCAGCCGGCTGCAGCTGCCAAATTTGAGGCAGACATTTGCCTCCTGCTGGTGGATGTAATGAAAAATAATTTCGAATTTGTTTTTTAGTTAACGAGTAATGTTAAAAATTTTTTGAATTTTTTTTGAATTTTTTTAAATAGTCAAAGGATTCTAATGTTTTTTTTTAAATATTGAATAAATTAGTAATTTAATATTCAAAACAAAAATTAAAAATTTTGCTTTGCCATTAATGAAAAACAAAAAAAATTAAAACAACTAGACATTCTAAATTTTTTATTCATTTTATTATTTACAATAACATTATATTCTTATTTTTAGTAATTAGATTTACAATAACATTATATTCTTATTTTTAATAATTAGATACTGTAAAATAATATCTTTTAATATTCATTAAAAATTTGCAACCTCACTGTATTTTGCTAATAGTTTTGACAACAGCAAGATTATTCACAATCTATAAAACCCTAAAAAGTATTGACTATCTACTTTTAAATGTTAAAAAGTTTAAAACTTGAAAGTTTATGTCAGTTTATGTATGCACATTACACTGCAACTACGACTATATATGTTGTATATCTTAGATACCGTGTACTTTTTGTCATTGCACAATGTGTCAAAGTATACTTTTTGTCATTGCACAATGTGTCAAAGTATACTTTTTGTCATTGCACAATGTGTCAAAGTATACTTTTTGTCATTGCACAATGTGTCAAAGTATACTTTTTGTCATTGCACAATGTGTCAAAGTATACTTTTTGTCATTGCACAATGTGTCAAAGTATACTTTTTGTCATTGCACAATGTGTCAAAGTATACTTTTTGTCATTGCACAATGTGTCAAAGTATACTTTTTGTCATTGCACAATGTGTCAAAGTATACTTTTTGTCATTGTACAATGTGTCAAAGTATACTTTTCGTCATTGCACAATGTGCCAAAGTATACTTTTTGTCATTGCACAATGTGCCAAAGTATACTTTTTGTCATTGCACAATGTGTCAAAGTATACTTTTCGTCATTGCACAATGTGTCAAAGTATACTTTTCGTCATTGCACAATGTGTCAAAGTATACTTTTCGTCATTGCACAATGTGTCAAAGTATACTTTTCGTCATTGCACAATGTGCCAAAGTATACTTTTTGTCATTGCACAATGTGTCAAAGTATACTTTTCGTCATTGCACAATGTGTCAAAGTATACTTTTCGTCATTGCACAATGTGTCAAAGTATACTTTTCGTCATTGCACAATGTGTCAAAGTATACTTTTCGTCATTGCACAATGTGTCAAAAGGCCATACAAAAAATCTCTAGAATTCTAAAATCTTAAAATTGTATAAGTATAACATTAATTTACTTAATATATGAAACTTTAAAATATAAAAACAATAAAGTATAATTTTCAATAAACAACAGTTAAAGGAAAAATAGTAATGCTACCTCATAAAGAAGACTTTGTGACATCCAAGGAGTTTCATCATATTTAATTCAAAATCGTTTCTGATTAATTTTATTTAATGTTAATTTTATTTGCTGCAGCCTTTCAAAATGTTGAAGAAATTTTCTTGTTGAAAGTTTGTTGCTTTTATTGTTCACTTTTTCATAGTTCTGACCCTCTCATTTATTAAGAATCACCTATTTAGGGGTTGTCTATAAAGTACATACGCTTTTTTTCTGCCTATCCCCCCCCCCACCGCCGTGCATTTTACCATACGCTTTTTTTCTACCTCCCTAAAAGTACCTACGCTTTTAACCTACGAACCCAACATTTTATTAAATTAGTGTCTCCATATTTTTATAATTAACTTATTGCCCTTCCCCCCCCCTATCACATATACGCCATTTGCAGACCCCTCTTCCTCTCCGAGCGTACGTACTTTATGGACGATCCCTTACTTGGCTGGTGGAAGTATTAATCTATTCAATATATTTCGAACTGAATAGCTTAGACCGTCATCACACCTAAAATAATGCTAATATAAAAACCATTTTAACATAAACTTATAAAAAAAACGCTAAAAGGGTAATCCAAAGATTATGTCAATAAAAATGATTTTTAAATTTTCACGAAAAGTGGTGTCTAACTGTTGCCCCATATCTTATACAGTTTTCCCTGTTTAAAAATACTGCGGACTGTTTTGTTTTTTGAAATGTTCTATATTCAGACTCTCCCATTTATTAAGATTCTTCTGTTTATTAGATTTTATAGTTATATTTCTGACCCTCCTGTTTATTAAAATCCTTGTTTATTTGGCAAACGAGAGTATAAGATAATTCAATATATTTCGAACTGAACAGCTTAGGCTTTCATCAGAAATAAACGATAATAACGAAATAAACGAGTGATAATATAAAAGCCGTTTCAACATAAAGTTTACATTTAGCATCTTACTCTACATAAAACTTTTGTAAACAAGTTTTCAGAAGAGGTTACTTTTAAAAAAAAAATCATTCTTATTACTTATTGTGAATGTTTTGTAATTAATAAAAATTATGTAATATTATACTCTGTAGTTGATATATCACAATAATAAAACAGTATTACTATACTACTAATTATCAATTTAGATTAGTTAATCTTACGCAAATATTATAATGGTATATAGATGTGAATATGACAATGTTTGTAAATGGTATTTCAAAATATTTACAGGTTATTAATTATTTAATTCGCAAAAGAAAAGGTATTTAGTCTACACTTTTAAACATTTTGAGGATTGTGGCTTGTTTTAACCTGATTATAAAAATCTTTTTTGTAATCAGGTTGTATTTTGTCAATATTATTGAGTCAATAGTGTTAATAACGTAGTCGCAAAATACAATTTTACGCGGGGATTAAAAATCTTATGACAGTAAAAATTTATGAATAAAAATTACAAGTGAATAAAAAACTTTATGACATTTATGTCGTTTTGCTGCTGCAGCTGATGATGATGATCATGATTATAATGATGATCATGATGATGATCATCATGATAATGATGTTCTGATTTGACTTTTTATATTTTATGTTTATTTTTAGACGATACTAGTCCAACTGATGAACCAATCACAACACCAGTTTCATCATCTTCAGCTTCTCGAAAAAAGAGAAGTGCAATCTTTCTAAATTTCTAATATGTTATGTTTAACACTGTAAATAAATTTGCAATCATTCATTTGATGTTCATTATTACAATAATAACTATAATAATCCATAGATAATATTTTATACAGGATGTTTGTTAAACTTTAGTTTTTTTCCTCCTGGGGTCAATTTTATAAAACTTTTTATCAGCGTTAAATACTACCAGCGAAAATTTTTCACTACAAATTTTTACAGCCGTAATTTTAGTCGTAAAATATTTTTTAATTCAATTTTATAAAACTTTCCGTATCAAATTTTGCTGATATCTATGCTCTGAATTTAATTTTAGAAATCTATTGTCCGGATCAATAATATTCATAAGACATAAAACTAAGTCACAAACAAAGTGTTTTAGAGTTGAAATTTCTAAAACATTATAGTTAACAAACTGAAGTTTTAAATCCAGTTTTCTCGTGAACTTGGACTGTTCCGATTGAAGAATATTTTGTTGCTTTAGAATATTTGGCAAATCAGAGACAATCACGAAAAGTAAAACTGTTCAAACAGTATTTAAACTGTTAAGAATACAATTTAAAACTAAAAAAAAAAAGAGGTGTCATTAGTTTTTTACAATATCCCATAAAAAAAATTGTATAGTTTTTCTATTAAAATAACTTATACTATTTTCTTTAGGCATTTTGAAACAAATGGCCTATAGAAATAGAAGTTTCTTTAGACTACCAATTGCGATTCAATAAAATATTCTATAGACTTTTTGTAGTAGGAATTGTAATACCATTTGTTTCAAAATTCTATAGAAAATTGTGTTGATTTAAATATAGAAAATCTATGCACCAGTGGCGTAACCATCAATTTGCCCCCCCCCCCCCTCCCCCCGCCAAAAAAGTAAAGGGCCCTTCTTAAATTTTTTCTCTAAAAATATCCGTAGGGATACGTGAAAACTTATAAATTCATAAAATGTATTTGATAAAACAGAAATTAGTAACACTCGTATTATTACCATTCATATTATTCATAGGATTAAAATTTGTAAATCTCCGCGGGCTCTCTAAGCTCCGGGATCCCCCGCCACTACGCCACTGCTGTACACATTTTGTATATTTGTTACACTATTAAAAAATTTCCGGAAAATTGACGGAAATTTTAGGCAAATATCTGAACTACTTCGTGCCGTATGGAACCAGACGAACATTCAGGTAAAATATCTGAACCTAAGCTGGTTCAGGATTTTTACCTGAACCTGAACTGTTTCAGTTCCGGTATTATGCGTGAACCTGAACCTGTTCAGGTTCACGCATTGTTCAGGTTCAGGTAAAACGCCTAAACCTGAACCAGTTCAACTTCAGGTATTTTACCTGAATATTCGCCTCCATTCGGTTCCATTCGGCACGAAGTAGTTCAGGTAAATTGGCTGAAAAGAGTAAGTATTCAGTAAATATTCCGCGATATTAATTTTTTTTAGGCCTAAAGAAAGTACATATTCTGTAAAATTTTAAATCGTGATTATAAATTAACTCGGTTTAGGCGTAAAAACGATCTTTGATTTTCAGATAGTCGATATGTTTAAAAGTATAACTTATAGCAATAACAATGTAACAAATTATATATAACTTGATTATAATCAAAATATAACTGTTTCAGCATTTGAAGTTGATTAAGTTTTTGTTTGAGGTAAAGAGACAAGTCACTGGCTCCTCTCGATAGATGCATTTCATCTTGGCAGCCTAACACGGTATGTTGCAAAAAGTACAAAATGTGGCTACATTGCTCCGCATACTCCATGTTCATTAAAAAATAAAGTTAAATTAAAATGTCTACAGCATAAGATATACATCTGTTGACATAGCTCGACACTCTGTAACAATAAATATTTGGTCGACACTGCAATGAGAACCCAAAGCTATGACTAACGGATGCTTGTGAGTAAGAATTATTTGTGAGTAAGACTTAGTGAGTAAGACAATTTCCATCGGAGTTGAAGCCTATTTAGATGTAGAAAAGAAATTAAAATAAGTCATTAAAAAATAACTTGGATACAAAATATCATCACATACAATTTTGATATAAATATCAGCACATATATGTGTTCTACATTAGTTCTAAATTGTATACAATTTAGAACTAATACATAGTATTAGTAAATTGTATACAATTTGAACGAATATAGTACTAATGTACTATATATAGTATAGTATAACCGTTAAGTCAGACTACTGATGTTTTCCCCTTCCCTTGAGAGTCCGACTCTCAACGGGGCATTTTTTTGTATAACAATGTTAATAACATGTAAAGCTATTAAATATATATTATTATGCATATTACTACAAACTTAGTATTATATTTAATATGTATAATTTATATCTAATAGAAATATATTATTCCAATATACTGGATAAAATTGAATAAAATGCTCTGCAACTTCAGCAGCTGATGCACAACTTTTATTCTTTGATGGTACTTTAATTATAAAGGGGAATAATAACAATGCAAAATCCATTTCTGTTCCTGAATTTAAAAAACAAATAATTTCTTTAATGAAATTATTTTACTAATTTATAATTTATTAGAATAATTTTACATATCAAATATACTCGGCCATATTGTTTTATAACACTTGATACCTATAGATGGGTTGTCTTGCATATCAAGCTCAACAAGAATCTGGTTCACCATCAAATTTGTCTTTCGCCTTGCTCAAGAGATAACATGTGGCGTTATTTTCTCCCAATGAGCCAAAAAATCATTCACTTCTGGGAAATTGCAATAGAAATCTTTCTGAAACTAAAATATGAGTATAGTATAAGACTGTTAGTAAAGTTTTCTTTAATTTTATAATATTTAGCAAAACCTATATGACAAATAAATATTTAAAAATTACAAGATGTATCTTGTATGGATTACAAGACATTTAATTTTATATTGAACAATTTTAAATATTTATTGGTGAAAAGTTGTAATGATAATATGGTGATTTTTATTCTTACGTGAATTGCTAGATCTTTTAGTTGCGGAAATGTTTTGAGTAAATCATCAATTGTAGGCTTACAATTTATGATCCTTTTTCGACGAGAGCACGAAGTTTATTCCATATAGTCCAATTTTCTTTCATAGCCTAAGTTGTCAAATCTCAACTCTCCAATCATACTTAGTTCTTCTTTTGAGAAAGGTGCTATGCAAAAAAATATATTTATTTATAACAATTACATTTAATTTAATAAATTTAAAAAATTATTTTTCAAAATTTAGATATATTTATAATGTTTATTTTAGCTAGATTTATTATTTAATTTTTTATATGATTTATTAGGAAATCTAATTACAATCCTGAGTATTAGGTACAATCCTGAGTATTAAGTAAATGTCTTAATTTAACAAAGAAAGAGTGTTTGAAAAATATACTAAACATTAAAATACCTGACGCTTAGAACTCTTCTGCTAAAACAGTAACTCTCTTTCGACGAGCTTGTACATGAACACCAAGTTTCTTACGCATAGTTTTCAGTCTTCTATGTGACCATGTGACTATGTGACCATGAGGAGTGACCTTTTTTTTCTTATTACTTACTATATACTCTGTATATGGGCGATAATAGTTTTCCTAAAAATATGATTTTTTTTATTAGATTTCATTACCTCATAGACAACTTGACATATAAGTGACAAATTGTGAAGATAAAAATAATAATAAGTTTACTTCTACTACTAATAATCCTCGATTGCCCCTTCGGCCTTGGAGAGGTAAAAAAAAAGAAAGGAAAAAAATTAATAAAATGTCTCTTATAGTCTCACTTATCCAAGTTTTCCACCAGAAAAGCAGCTTTGGAAAGGCAGTGATAATAGCTTTTGCAAGATTAGATTTGGTTTATGAGGAAGGATACCTAAAACATATATAGTAACAAAAATATTTCTATAGCCAAATTTATATTAAGTTAATGTTTGATAATTTTTGAAAAATAACTTTATAAAAAAAATTTTATAAACAAAAATTTTCAGTGCTACGTCAATCAGCCATCAGAATTATTTAATGGATTCTAGTAAAATAACTAATGATAAAATATAAAATTTGCCTTGGCTATTCTGTTCGTAAGTTTGACATACAATATCTAACTTACTTAACGAAGTGCACCAACTAGAAGGTAAGCCATAGGACTTTGCACCTCATATGTAAGTTGTAATGCTGCCTAAGGTTAGCTCTCCATTTTTAAATACTTTCCTATTCTTAATATGTGTCGATGTAAAAATAGTGTTCTTAATATGTGTCGATGTTAAAATAGTGTTATTGTTGGCAAAAAAAAAAAAAAATAGTGTTATTGTTGGCAAAAAAAAAAAAATAGTGTTATTAATGGCAAAAAAAAAAAAAAAGTGTTATTAACGGCAAAAAAAAAAAAAAAAAAAAAAAAGCTTTAGATTGTTTATTAGATTATTAATTAAAAATTTATATTTGGATTTATTTAATAAATTTGTATTCTTTATTTAATTCTCTGGATTCTTTCCTTTATATTTTTGTTACTAATTGCAATTAACTGCAATTATTATTACAATATACTAATATCGTGATATATTCAAAAATATCATGATATTATGATATTGTGTTATTTTTAAAAATATTTTCTTATTTTATAATACTATGCATAATATAAAAAAATACAATTTAAACAGTTCCACAACAGAAAAATCCTCAAGAAGCTAATTTATCTATTTGTTTTTATGAATATCAAGCACTATTTTTGCAGCACACACTAACAAAATTTACACACGTATTAAAATTTTTTTATTTAGTGGTTTACATAGTATTTAGTTTAGAGCACTTTTTAAAACATTTAACATTTTAGAAGTCAAAGACCATGAAATGTACACAAAATAGAAAATTTATTTTTTTATTAAACATCCAAAACAAATAAACAATAAGATGCTTTAAGAGAAAATTATAAAAATGTTTAAGCAAAAAAATGACTGTAAACATAAAAGTTAATAATAATTATTACTTAACCATAGTCAACTATTTAAGGCATACTTTACAACTCTAAACGGCTCTCTCCAGAAAATCAAAATATGCTGATAAACCTGCCTATATCTGATAGTGAGTCACTATCAGATGCTTCATCAGCTAAATTGAAAAGTACTTGGTTTTATTGATTTAAGAAATAAGAATCTCCTAAAAAGCTTTACCACAACACACTATAAGTTAATTTTGGGTGGTTTCAGATACATAAGTTGCATTTTCAAGGGGCTGATATTAAAAATGCTTATAAGATAGTGTCAACTGCATAAGTTCCAAAATTAAGTACTTCAAAAAACTTTCCTACTTTTTGAGGAATCTTCTATATTATAGGAGAGTCTCCTATATTCTACTATAGTTTATTCTACTGACAACCAATGCAACTTATAATACCATCTTTAATTGAAGCTTCAATTTGAAGATTAAATTTTTTTTTAAGAATTATAAATCCAATATTTCAATTGTTTACATTTATAGCAAATGAAAATAGAAACTGTTTATATAGTTTTGAACTATTATTACTAGTATTAACCTGCTAAATAAAATTAAAATGTTATAGTTTAATGTTATTATGTTATAAAAATAAGCATAAAAACAGCTGTATTTAAGTATAATACATAGTACAATAACATAGTTACAGTTACATAACATAGTATAACAGCATAGTATAATAACAACAATAACATAGTATAATAACATAGTTAAAGTATAATAACATAGTCACAATTATAAAAAGCATGTTATTTTTTATAATAAATATAGTTTGTGAAAACATAATTAAAAAATGTACCTTAAAGCTACAAAACCTTGATCCATTTTAAAAGAAGGTATAAAAACATTCACATTAGGGCATCTTCCAGCCAAAAGTTTAACAATAAAATAAACTTTGGTTTTGTCAAGAATTTATTTTTCACAACATTTTATGTTTTAAATGGTATCAATAGCATTTAAAATAGTATTCTTTCAAAAGATATCCACCACAATTTTACCAACTTACTATAGGCGCTTAGGTTATTTGAATTTAACTAGGCATAAAAAGACTGGGAAATAAGTACAGCCACAAAGCAAAAAAGCAATCTAGCCACTGGCTTTAAGTGTTAACAGCATAGGACTTTACATTAAAAAGATATTGCTTAAAAAAAAACAACAATAGTTTAGTCAGCTTATGCTGTAAAATCAGTTCTGATTATCTGTACAGCGCAATGACAAATCTCCTTTTTTAATCCTTTTTTTTTTGATTAATCGCATTTTAGGGCTGATTTTACATGACAAATAAAAAATAAACTGGTCGTAATTAAATTTTAGGCGATTATTTTTACTTTGAAAATATGTTGGAATGCAATATAAAATTTTTTATTTTGTTGATTATTTTTAGATGTAGCCTAAAAATAATCAATCCACACCTGATATATATATATATATATATATATATATATATATATACACCCACATTTGTTGTGTTGGACAAGTTATAGTGGGTTATAAATACTTTTGTATTTTGTTTATATCTTTAACTTTAACTTCTATCTTAAGAATTGACAATTAAGTAAAGTATAGCAATTGATGAAAATAAAACATCATTTTAATATATTGCAATGATACAAATAGTAACGTAAAATAATATGCTTATATATACGTGTAGGTTTTAAACAACGAACAGCATCAAAAGGTTTATAATCTGCTTAGTCACTGGCTCTCAAACATGTACGCTCCGAATCGAGAGAACAACAATACGATAGAGTTATATAATACATGTGGACAAGCCACTTAAGTCCAATAAAATAAATTACATTGTGATGAACATATATTTGTTCAATTTTAACAAATGACGGTTTACCTTCATCACTAATAGAGTGAAGTACAGACATCTTAGTTTGGTACTTTTGACCAAAAACGACTACTTTTTCTGTCATAAACACATCTATTTTTTCACCAATAAGAGGTAAAATTAATGACTTATGCCTAATATCTTAAGATGAAATAATCATACCATTTCCAACTTCTGAAATCCCTTTTAATGGACATCTAGTCATCCAAACAAAAGCATGAGAAAGTTGGTGTCTGCTTGCAAGAAAAATGCTATATTTTTAAAGTTACAAATGATATGAGCAAGGCGCTTAGAAAAGTTATGCTTTGCTTCAAACCGCATTACCATCATATGTAAAAGTGGTCCGCTATTCTCTATTATAGTACCATAGTGAACCATTCTGTGATGTTTGTATAAAAGTCTTTTATCAGGATAACATATTTTAAATAACTCATGATGTTCTGATACAAGATTTTTAAAGTACAAAACATGTGACAGTACAGAGTTTGGCAATAAAATAATTTCTGTCAGCTGTTTTAGCAATTGATACAAACCCCATTTTAAATTATCTACTTTGTCAATAACATCAGCTAAAATACATGGCAAATGTAAAAACAAAATTAGCATCTGAGCTGACCGTTGTCCTAGCAATGAGCTGTGACTTTTTAAATGTGACTCACTTATAAAACTAGGCTTTGAGTTACTAACCAGACCATAATCCATTACATTAATGCAACAACTAAGCTCAGAGAGATTAATAAGCTTCAAGTCATAAATTATGTGGTGCAAAAATAACTTGACTTCAAACGGAATTACACCTTCGAATAAATCATGCATTATATGAGTCATTACAAGCAGGATGGTAATATTTCAAATTTTTTAAAGTTGAGGGCCGCTTTATGCCACACTCTTTAAATGAAATGGTACCATTTTTAGGCTGTTCAATATGCTTCTCATATGATTGTTATGTCCTCATTGTAAGAAAATATTCAATAAATACTTTTTGCATATCATCCTGAGTTGCCATGCACAAGTCACAAACAAATAAAGCAGTGCTAAAATTTTCCAAGAATTGCATTAGCCTTAAATTATCACCAACAACTTGTGTTAAAAAACAACGAATATTTCTCTTTTCCATCACAAAAAACATTAAAACCCTCATAGTGTAAGTCTTTTAATTGCTGAACAATAATTTTCATAACAGGATCAGTGGTGCACTGTTTAATGTCTTCCGAATGTGCTAAAGCCAACAAATGAATATTGCTTAACACAGAATTTGCAGCTGGTGAAAAGTTTTTTATTGTGAAATAAAATGTGCCTAACTTGTGTATTCCAGTTTTAGATCCAAGTGGATTTGTTGTCTCTACCTCATCAAAGTATATCTGAATAAATACATGAATACTGTTAAGAAAATAATGTTTGGCATATGTTTTTAGCTGTCTGCCATGTCTGTTAAGAACTGTTAAGAAAATAATGTTTGGCATATGTTCTTACCGTCTAACCAATCTTCTACTTTATCATTTACTGACTCATTATTTCTATTTTAAATTTTCCAAGTCTTAGGTTGTTGCAAAACCAATTTTAACGCTTTCTCAATTGGTATAAGGTAAAATTTATTTTTGACACTCACTTGCATTTGTTGCTTTGTTGATCTGTCTCGCTTAACATCCCACCGATCTCATATTGAATGAGCTTCAGGTTCAACAAAGAGACCTTTACTTTAAGATAATTCACCATTTGAAAGAATTCATCAAGTTGTTGACCCTACAAAATATTGTGTAAAATATAAAAATAATGCTACACTAATGCATTCTTTTAATCATCATAACTTATATCAAACTAAAAAAATATTTTTAATAAGAAATAAAAAATATTTCCTGCGCTCCATATTTCATTATAATTAATTTTATTAAACTGTTAACCTTTTTTACCTCAATTATGGCTTGAATTTCAATGGCCTGGCCCATTTTGATGCCTATTGCATGCAGCAATAATGCGTTCAACTCCAAAAAAGCTAATCCATCAATTTCTTCACCTAAAATAATAATCGATAGTGTAAAAAGTGTTTCAATAGAGTTAAAAGACAATTTTTCATATTTAAATACAATTTATATGATTTATAATTTATCAATCATATATATTTTGTAATAATTATTACAACAATTTAAAAGACAATTTAAAAGACAACAATTTAAAAAAATAGTAGAATTCAAAAATTCAAGTGCACCTCTACTACTTATTTACTTTAACTATTGACTTCTTTTTTTTTTACAAACTTAAACTTAGTTGAACTAACTTAGAGTTTGTAAATTTCATTGTATGTACATTTTCATTTATAAAGTTTATAGATTATACACATCACATACTGCATAACTTTTATAATAAACACCATATAGAATGTGATGTGAATAGATGTCAAAATATATTTATATTATTTATCATATTGATATAGTATATTACAATAATATTATTATATACTGTATCAATATTATATTGTATAGTGTTTATCATATTATATATATATATATATATATATATATATATATATATATATATATATATATATATATATATATATATATATATATATATATATATATAGGTACATGCACTGAAATTTTTAAATTGATCATATAGTAGAATGCTATATATCATTAGAAACGCCTTCAATACAGTATTTTAAAGATGAAAAAATTATTAAAAACGAACAATTCTAAAAAAAGTTATAACATTTTCAGTTGCAAATTTTAGATATATGGAATTGTTGAAGAAACTGTGGTCAAAATAATTATTTTTTTCACTTAAATTATTTTAACTTTGTCAATTTTTATCCAAATACCTATATCTTGGTATCACAAGATAGGTGCACTAATGGGCTACAAGTTCATTTTGGTGCCTGGATGTAGGGCGTATTTTGGAAGCTAAAGGGGGTAATAAAACACCATCTAACCCTTAAGAAAATACAAGTTTTTGTCAGAAATAAGCACTTTTTTAATGTTATTGTTATATTTTATACACAAAATATTGCCATAACTTGATTCCAAAACACTGCCAAACAAAATAAAGTGATCTTAGAGTTGGCCATAGATGTGGTTGTGATGTAATAACACCCTAATACAATAATCATACATTCTAATAATTAATTTAATCTTTATTACAGTAATTAAATATTTTGTTAAAAAGTAAAAATATATTTTTATTACTATAAAACATACATTAGTGATGTACACACTAACTTTAGGGGAGGGCGTATGTTGCACCACCCCTGCCCCTTCCCCCCCCCCCAAACTTATAAAAAAATATAAAATTTTTCTTATCTTTATTACAATTATTAAATATGTTAAAAATTAAAAGTAATTTTTTATTACTATTCAATTGACTTGAAATGAAGGGAGTATGATGCACCACCTCTCCCCCCCCCCACCTGACAAAAAATAACATCTTTATTTCAATAATCAAATGTATTGTTAAAAAGGAAAAATAATCTTTTATAACTATACAACATACATTAGTATTGAAAATATTGTTGTATTACATAAAGCAATATTTTTTTACTATAGAACATACATTAGTGATGTACAATGAGGAGAGGGATGGTTTTCCACCTTTCCCTCAACCAACATAAAAAAGAAAACACATAGAAATGATATTTTCAACATTTTCACATGCAATTATTAAAAAAAGAGAAAGCACAATACAGAATTGTTTTACCAGATTACAAGTTGCACTAGTATACACTTTCTCATTTAAATGATCATATTTAACCCACCAACCTAATTTAAAAAAAAAATAAAAAAATGTTTTGAAACATAGTAATTACTCTGGCTTGGCTTTTAGTAAATGATTTTAATTTTAGGTTCAAAATGACCTATAAGCTTCATATATAAGCTTTAAAAACAAATAAAATATGAATGTATTTGTAATTCATGCAATTAAAATAAATACTTACTAAGACAGTTTGTCTGAATAAATATAATGAATGATTAATGAATCAATGAAATTTTAAATAAAAGTTAATCAGAATAAAAATTTAAACATGTATAAGCTTCTGATTCTCCTTTTATAGCACTTGAAGAGATAACAAAACACAAAAGTATTAAATAGATTATATAAATAGGAATAAGATGAACTCAATAATCAATCAGAGACATTCCAGATTCATAAATTTACCGTTTGAAGGTGGTGCAGATGGAACTAAAAATAAAATTTGTTTTAATAAAAAATACAAATTGCAACTGGTAATAAATGCATTCATAGTCTAAAAAGTAATAGTTTTTAAACTTACTTGGCGTGACAGCTGAAGATGTTACTATAAAAAAAAGGTTTTAATCAAAAACCAGTTGATAAGAAATGCAATTGCAAAAAAGAATATGCAATTGATAAGAAATGCATACACATGTTAAAAGAAAAAAGGTTTTGAAATTACCAGGCGTAACACACGTAGAAAGAATTAAAGGTAAAAAATATACTATAAAAACCAACATTGCAATCAATAAGAAATTTGTGCGCATTAAAAAGAGTTGTTTAATTTACCAGGTGTAGCACAAGAGGTAGATACTAAAATTACAAAGTTGTAACAAAAAATCTATATTGCAAATAACGAGAAATGTATACACATTAAATGTAATAGTTTTTTTTAATTACTAGTTGCAACACATGACTAAGGAACTAAAGTTAAACATATTGTAAAGTTTGCACATTAAAAAGTAAGAGTTGTTTAACTTACCAGGTGTAGATACTAAAATTTAAAAATTAATATTACAGCAAATGGGAAATCCATATAGGACAAGTAATAATTAAATAAGTAAGAAATACATTTATCTATTTATATTTCTTTAATGGTTAATAAAAGTTATGCTATAATAACTTACCAGCTGTAGTCTGTGCAGATTGGACTAAAGATAAAAAAAAAGTTGTATAATCAAAAAAAAACATCTTGAAATTGTCAACAGTCAATAAAAATAACAATTGTTAAATCAGTTCTGCATTACGTACAACAACTTGACTAACAAAAAAAAGGTATGAAAAAATAATAAAAAACAAAAACTATATTACTGAATTTTAAAATTATATTACTGTATATTAGAAAAACACTAACAATATATTTTTATAAGAATAAACTTATTATTGTAAAAGTATCTTGATATTTTTACAAAAATAAGCTTATTATTATAAAAATATTTTGTCATAAAATTTATTGGCTTAAGCCAATAAAGTTTTACTTTAAAGTATAATAATGTCGTTTGTATATTTTTATATATATGGTGTATAAAAAACATTGGTATCTGATACTATTAATTAATAAAATATTCCAAAGTAACGGTTTAATCTTAAATCCTAATCTTTTTTAATATACCATCATTGCCAATGACATTGGTATATATAGTTTAAAAAACAAATGAAATTGGTATATATAGTTTGATAAAATCAAACTATATTTGATATAATGACATTGATATAATATACATTTGATATAATGACATTGATATATATAGTAAAAATGCCAATGACATTGGCATATTATATACCAATGTAAATATAATATACTATATATAGTTTAAAAAACCTTAATCTTTGTTTACATGCCATGTAAACAAAGATTAAGGTTTTTAAACTTATCATTGTTTTGTTTTTTAAAAAAGTTATTATTATCATGAAAAACATATTAACATACTTTTTGAAGTTTTCATTTCCATAATTTTTACCATTTTCATTTGAATTTTAATCTAATATTAAAAATTAAAATAATACAATGTAGTAATAATTTTTTTGTTTACAATCCGCTTCCCACCTATCCTCCCCCGTATTTCTCTTACCGATAAAACGAAAACAAAAAAAACCGAATTTAGGTACCAAAAGTCCTACACTTCTTAAACTATCTGCTCCCAATTATTTTTTGCTAAAATTTGGCATGTGCAAAGAAAATGCATGTAAAAAATTGCCTGAATAACAAAAAAAGCGGACACGACATTCCTTCGACAACAAATTAATGTGAGAACATCAACGAAAATTCTTGAAAGTTTTCAGCATAACTAACCATAAAAAAGTTTAGTGATTATACATAAAAGTACTATAAAAAACCAAGCCTAACCTTTCTTCTTTCCAAATATAACTTTTGTTTATATATTTTTCTAAAAAAAAACACCGCAAAAAACGTTTGTCTAACCCTACCTAAAAAAAGCAGTATATTTTATAAAGCACCTTGTAACATATCTGCTCCCAATTATTTCTTGTTGAAATTTGGCACATAAATAGAAAATGCATGTAAAAAATTGCCTGAATAACAAAAAAAGCGGACACGACATGCCTTCGACTACAAATTCATGTGAAAACATCAACCAAATATTCAGAAGCAAAATAATCTGTTAAAAAGTCTAGTAACCATACATAAAAGTTTTAAAAAAGTAAAGATTAGCTTCTCTTCTTTCCAAAAGGTATCTATGTGTATATATGTTTCTAAAAAGAAACTCCACAAAACTACGTTTACCCCACGCTGCCTAAAAAGAAGTGAAAAAAACGAGTCACAAAATTTTATTACAAAAATTGGTTCATATATATATATATATATATATATATATATATATATATATATATATATATATATATATATATATATATATATATATATATATATATATATATATATATATATATATATATATATATATATATCAGGCAATTAAATTCAAACGTTCAGACCCATCAGCAACCTCCGATTTTGATAAAATTTTGTCATTATGTTGTTAAACATGTTTCATGAAAATTGCCAAATTTTTAGATAAAAATGTTTATTATTTTGGGTTTTGTGATACTTTTTGTAAGGCTTACCCAAACTTCAATATCAGTCTGTAGCTAAAAACTGCATTTTTGGGGTCTTATTTTTGTAATGAACGGGTAATATATCTTAAAAACGTGGTTTCTTAGTAAACCGAAGGTGGAGATTACAAACAAATTAATACAAGTTTCACATTATGCCTACATTTTAGTCTATGATTCACCAAATACCGTCACAAATTCAACACCATAAATTTTTTCTGTTTTTTGTAGGGTCATATCTCCAGAACAAAAGATTTTTTAGATATTGTTATTTTGTTTACAGGTTCTACATACCAGTGGCGGATTAAGACTTCTTGGGGCCCGGGGCTATTTTTGTTTTGGAGGCCTTTTTATGGACCAGAGCCTAAAAATGACTTAAAAATAAAAAAAAATAAAAAAATGTCCTCTAAAATTTTTGGGGGCCTCTAAATTTGCGGGGCCCGGGGCTATAGTCCCTCTAGCCCCCCTTCCTTGATTCGGCACTGCTACATACTATCATAATGATATGGATTAAAAATCTTTTTATAAACGTCTTTTCTGAGTTGTTTTGAAAGCAAAATAGCGACAAAAGTGAAATACCCTAAAATAACGTGTGTTTAAACCCCTAAAACTCAATGTGGGCAATAGTTTTTTGTTTTTTTATTTGCATCAATGGAAAGAGCTTATTTCACACTTCTAGAAACAATAAAAATTATTTTGGAGAGATTTTTCTTATAAACGAAAAAAAATTGGTCATTATATACATTTTTTGAATTTTACGATTTTGTCCTAAACATAAAGATTTATCATACTGCATCAAAATCAAAGCTTGCTGTACAAAAAATAAAAATATATTTTTATGTTCAAAGAACTTTTTTTAACATTTGCTTGAGTTATTTCAGAAAAGCAAACAAATCAGTAAAATGTGAATCTCAATATTTAAAGTAAAAAAAACTGCAAATAAGTGCCTAATTCGTTTTAGTAAAAAATTTATTTTTGTGTATTTTGATTATATAATTATTTTATTTCCAAACCGATGCATTTTCAAAAAAGTTAGTCTCAAAAATAATAAAGAAGTTGATCTTCATTTTAGTAGATAGTACTAAAAAAGGTTATCCCTAATGACGCCTTGGCAACCGTAAAACATTTGATTTCTTACAATAAGTATGTCTAAAAAAGGATTTCAAAAATTTAACAGTTATAAAAATACTGCGGATAAATATATGTTATTGACAATCTAAAATGCCAGAGAAGTTGAGGCAACTGACTATGGGCGCCAACCAAAAAAGGCGCTTGTATTTTTATTTTCTTTAAAAAGTTATTTTAGAGCGACGATTATTCAGATGCTTTAGAACACCATCAATTCAACAACGTCACAAATGCGGCCCTGGTTATAGTAGCATAATCTAGTTAACTAGGTAACTTGATTATGCTATGTAGTTTTGGAAACAATACAGATTTTACAACACGTTTTCTACAAAAAAATAAATATTTTAGCAGTTTTTTATTTTATGTCAATATATATTTTCTTTTGCACAAAAATAAATTGGCGATAGAAAAAATTACGTTGTGCAAAACCATAAACAACTTGATTACAATTACATAATTAAAATAGTTTCAAATTTGGAATTAATGTCTGAAACAACAATTTATGGTAAATTGTAAGATCGACCTATTGCAGAACTGATTGGATTTGGAATGACTGCAATAACATGCTGCTCAGGTACCCGACAAGTGTCCTTGGTGCTAAGCCAGTAAAATGACTGAGCCATACCATGAGGATGCATAAAATCAATGAAAACATCTTCCTGTTTTTCTGAAAATACACAAACATTTCCAATCCACCAATGTGCATCATAAATACATGCAACTAAATTTCCAGGACTAAGATCAGGTAGTGAAACTAATTTGGTTGAGTTGTTGTTGTAACTTTCATTAAAATTTGCAATAAAAGATGTATTGTCATTTGAAATACGACTGATACAAACCTGATTTTCATTTACAGGTACAAATTTGTGATTATTGCGAGTACCTGCAACTGTGTTTCCAGTACTAAATCGTTTCTCTTGATTGCCTTTTACACTGTCTACTTCATCACTGGCAACATAAATAAATGAAATACCCGTGGTACTTTCCTTGCAAAAATCATACAAATTTAAGAGCTTAAAATTTGATTATCAGTTGGCCGTTGAAGACTGGCACGTGCTGCTAAACGCTTCACAGTTTCCGCGCTTTTACAAATCCAGAGATTTGTTAAAAGCACGGATACTTTATTTGAGGAGTTGAATATCCAGTTAAACCAGTAAGTTATATTCACCTAAGTTATATCCAATTAAACCAGTAAGTTATATCCAGTAAACCAATAAGTTATATCCAGGTAAGTTATATCCAGTTAAACCAGTTCGTTATGTTTAATTTTATTATTAAAGGCGGGTGGAAAATATAAAACCTTACTGTTTATAAACTCAGTGAGAGTTCAACTTTCTGGTGTTAATTCACTCTGCAAAACTAAAAACTTAAACTTTTTTGTTGAATTGAAACTTCACTAGTAAACATGTAAATTGATCCTAGAAAAAAAACTTCTTAGATTTTTTTTTAACTTGAATTTATATATAGATAGTTTTTTTTATAGATAGTTTATAGGTTTTTCTTTTTTTACTATTTCATAAATTTCATTAAATCGGACATTACGAGGTCAGTCAAACCACTGCTTATTTAAATGAAAAAAAAAAAGACATTTCTATTTAAAAAGTATTTTATACGTCACTTTTGAAGCAACAAGCCATAGAGAAAATGTTACAAATATTTTCACAGGAACAATATTTTTATATTGACTCTCAAAAAAATTAAAAAAAAAACAACAAACAAGAAAAAAAAAAAAAGGTGGAAAAAAGATATAGAAAAACGAATTAAATAAAAAAAATCACCAAGTTTTAAAATATCATCAAAGTCAGTTAATATTATTAGTATTATGTATTATCTATTATGATATCAAATTCTGGAAAGACATTTTAAACAGTAGACATCAAAAAGAGTTAACCATATAAAAAATAAAAAACTTTTTTTAATATTTTAACGAATTATCTTAATACATTTATTAAATCTTAAACAAATTATTTTAAGCATAACTTATGCAAAGAAAAGCAAAGAAAAATAAAAAAACAACATAAAAACTCGTTTTAAAAAACAAAACAAGTCTTCATGTAAATAATTATGCTAGAGAGTTTTTTCTGCATATTGATAATTTTATAACAAATTAATATTAAAAAAAATAAATAAAAAATAACAACAATTTAAAAAGAACTTTATTATTAGTTTCTAATAACATGTTTAGTTATTCAATCCTCGTGACACAAATTCAACCTAAAATAAATCAAATTATTTTAAATGCAAAAATATAAAAAAAAAGCAATTAAAGAATTAAAAAAAAAAGAAAAAGAAAGACAAACCACGTTGTTGTTTTGTGCAATGCTATCAGCAAAGGCTGAGCCAACAAAACGACGAAAGTAATTAAAAACATTTGTTCCCAAACTCTTTGTTTTAATAATTACTCGTTTACTGATATTCAAAAGCACAATAAAATCGTCTGCATCTCTATTCTCTCCAATCAAATCATTTAAGTAAACAGCAAATAATTCGTAGTCGAGCTCTGGTCTACTTGTTATATAATTAACAAGGCTCCTTTCAACACCCAAATAAAACTGCTATAATAAATAAATAATTTATTAGTTGTGGAATATTTTTTATCTGCAATAAATAGGTTAAAGTTATGAGTGATTTGATCATTGATTCAATTCAATGAATGATTAAAAATGTACTTTGTCCGTCTCATCTTTGTCCATGGACTATCCAATTTTGAATACTAATTAGTTTTAAGATTTGTTAGAAGTTTAACATACTTGAATAAAACAATAAAATCTTTTAAATCAAATCAGGCAAATCAATTTTTCTATAAATTTCATGCGAATTTTTCATTTAAAAATTCACATGAAGAGGGAATTTCCTTTAGTGAGGGCTGAATGAATGGTTGCTGACAAACTAATTTTTTATACTACTAATAAACGAAAGAACAATAAAACAATAACTGACATTAAACAATTTTTAGTTCAATACTGATTCAGTTATACAGTAGCACGTCGGTTTTATACAGTAGCACGTCGGTTTTATACAGCAGCACGTCGGTTTTATACAGTAGTACGTCGGTTTTATGCTGCATATAGGATAAATTGTCCTAGAATTTTATTATTATTTTTTACAATTTCTTTAACATATCCTTTAACTTCATTTTTGTATTACGTTTACAATTTTTGCAAACATTGCACTTATTTTTTTAGAAATATTTTTTACTTCTCAACATTAGGTTTTTTTAAAAAGCAAAGTATTTTTTATTGAAATGAAAATTATGAAATTTTGATATTATAAAATCAATTATAAGATTATACTTGAACACCTGCTAAAAATTAAAAATAATGTTTTGATCTATTTTATAAAAATAATTGTGTCTTTGAAGTAACTTTTTATCAGTTGAACCCTAAATAACCTATTTGTGATTTGTGTTTAATTAAAACCTACTGACTGTTACTAATAAATGGGCAACTAAGGTTTTCTTTCTGTTCCCTGTTTGAAGAGCTTATTCATATGGATTACCAACAAAAAGAACAATAAGCAATAAGAAATCATATATATATATATATATATATATATATATATATATATATATATATATATATATATATATATATATATATATATATATATATATATATATATATATATATATATATATATATATATATATATATACATATATACACTGAGGCATATTCGTTTAGACGCATCAATTTTTTTCTTTTTATCTTAATTTTTTTCTATGAATTGTCAACTGATATGCATGCAAGTTATTATCAAAATAATTGTTGTATTGTGGGCTAATAATCACAAAAAAAAATTTTCTGTGTCTTTATTAACATGAGAGTATGTTTAATATACAAAAGTACATTTTTTAATTGGAATATATCTATAGACGCAGTCATATTTTTGACATTAAAAGATGGAAATTAGAACCGAAATGTTGTCTTTAAACCATTTTATAGAATGCATAGATGTGTGAATTGCAGCATTATCTTGCTGAAATATGGCATTATCGTCCGTGCTTTCATCCATATAAGTTATGAGAATATCATCCAAGATTTCTGTATATTTTATTGAGTTCATTTTAGGTAAACCACAACATAGAGTCAATTTTCCTGAATAAGAAAATCCACCCCAAACCAAAATATTTTCATCTGAAAATATTATGTTTTGCCACTCATGAGTCCAATGGATATGGTTTTTAGCAAACTGTAATCTAGCAATTTTATGGTGTTTTTTTAACATAGGTTTTTGGTGTGGTTTCTTCCACTTTACGTTTGGTTTGTACGTAGAATATGTGCAACATGTTTATTGGTGACAGGCAATAATAATTTATCCTTTATTTGTGTTGCATTCAATTTATTTTTGGTTGTTTCGAAGCGAATTCGATTAATTTGCCAATTTGTTAATACTTTGTTGCCGTTTGTTGCTTTTTTTACACCGTAATTGTCACCTTTTGCAATGTAGTTTTGTACATGGTCAGATCTTCCAATTTTTCTTGCTATTTCTCATATAGAAAGTGCTGGTGAGATTTCTGAGCCACGATATAAATTAATTTGTATTTTTTCAGCATTTGTCAAATACTTTCCTTTAGGCATTTTGTAAAATGCAATAAAAATGATATCGGCAGAGCAAAAGATCAAATTTCACTAAAATTTATCAATTTATTTGTGTAAAAGTGATTAAAAATCAATAATTACCGTTATTAACCTGATTGCGTCTATAGATATATTCCAATTAAAAAATGTACTTTTGTATATCAAACATACTCTCATGTTGATAAAGACACATAGAAAATTTTTTTTGTGGTTTTTATTAGCCCGCAACAAAACAATTATTTTGATAATAACTTGCATACATATCAGTTGACAATTCATAGAAAAAAATTAAGATAAAGAAAAAAAAACTGATGCGTCTAAACGAATATGCCTCAGTGTGGGTGTGTGTGTGTATATATATATATTTATATATATATATATATATATATATATATATATATATATATATATATATATATATATATATATATACATATATATATATATATATATATATATATATATATATATATATATATATATATATATATATATATATATATATATATATATATATATATATATATATATATATATATATATATATATATATAAATATATATATATATATATATATATATATATATATATATATATATATATATATACACATATATATATATATATATATATATATATATATAAATTATTATTTTAGATTTAAGTAAATAGAAAATGAAATTTTTCAATTTGAAACTTTTCAAACAGGAATTCAACAAGATTTTATTATTTATAATTTTTTTTTTCTTGATGTTTTGTTATAAATATAATTATTATTTTTGAAATTTTTATATAATTTGGCTTCATTTAAGACCCAATATACTTATAAAAAACTTTTTTTTTGATAATATTAGGGACCTGTTTAATGTTTAAGGTCTAGTGGCACCCCTTAAAATATTTTTCATTCAAAAACCTGTTTAAATCTAGTATTATTTTACTATATAAAAAACATTTAGGGGGTGTCAGCAGACATGTACATATGTATGTATGTATGTATGTATGTATGTATGTATGTATGTATGTATGTATGTATGTATGTATGTATGTATGTATGTATGTATGTATGTATATATATATGTATACATGTATGTATGTATGTATGTATATATATATATATATATATATATATATATATATATATATATATATATATATATATATATATATATATATATATATATATATATATATATATATATATATATATATATACACACACATACATACAAACATACAGGGGTGAACACTTGAACTTTAGCTCGGTAACCAGAAGGGCGACTGAAAGTAACCAGTTCTCAGTTCAAGATGTTTTGAGTGACACGTTACTATTTAATTTAATTTTCGCATTTATCGGAGCTCTCCCATATTCTAGTCACTTTTCCTTATAAGGCTAAGTATAGACTAGAAATAATTTAAGTAAATAAAAGTAATATTGTAAACATATTAATATTGTAAACATATGCAATAATATTGTTAACAGTATATATTGACAACATTCATTTTTCTACTTTAAAACATTCACTTTTCTAGATAAAGCCCATGCCAATATATAAGTCATTATTTTTTTAATTTGAATTTAGTGCTTATTTTATATAAAAAATAAAAATCTTTGTTGTTTTATATAAAAAAAAAACAAAGAATTGACAAATATAAAAAAAAAACAATTTACAAATACTTTAAAAACTTTTGCTTTTAAAGTGTTGTAATTAAAGTATCGCCTTGTAATTAAATTTAAATTTAAACTGTGTTAAACTAATTTAAACCAATATAAAATAATTAATATTTGGTATTTGAAAGAAAAAAAATTCTTATTAATTATTTCTTTAAACAATCTTATTGGGTTGTAACATAAGTTCGTAGAGTTTTGCGTTAGAGTTATTTTACAACGATTTGTTTTGTTTTTAGCAAAGTATATACATTCTTTCGAAAGAGCTCTTTCTTGTCTACAAAACGGTTTTATTTGTTTTTTTGGATAATTTAATTGTTCATCTTTTTTCTGGCTCAGAAATGGAATACCCAGGAGGAAAAAATCAGCATTTTCGACATCTGATTTTCTTTGCTTTTCATCGAGGTCAAAAAGCAGCCGAAGCCGCTCGGGACATATGCAGTGTGTACGGGGAAGGTGCTTTAGGTGTGTCTACTGCACAAAAATCGTTCGCAAAGTTTAAAAATGGCGACTTTGACCTTGAAGACACGCCTCGAAGCAAACGACCTGCAGAATTTGACGAAGAGCATCTGAAGCCACTATTGAAGGAAGATGGTCGCCAAACAACTCGTGAATTGGCTGAAAAAATAAACATCAGTGCAATGACAATCTCTCGCCACCTTCAATCAATTGGTTTTACTCAAAAACTCGGAGCATGGGTACCTCACAAGCTCAACGAAGAAAACAAAGAAAAACACCTTCAAATTGCTGCTCAACATCTCGCCCGCCACCAAGCAACACATGGACACAAACAACGCTTTTTGTATCAAATCATCACAGGAGATGAGAAATGGTGTCTGTACGTCAATGTGAAGCAAGGAAAGGAGTGCGTGGCCCCAGGAGAAACGCCGAAGCCGAGAGTCAAGCAAAATCTTCACCCAAAAAAGGCCATGATCTGCGTTTGGTAGGAATGGGAAGGCATGGTGCACTGGGAAATGCTCGAACGAAATGCCACTGTCAACAAGGAGGTCTACATTGCCCAGCTGAACTGTGTAAATGAGGCTATTTGGCTGAAAAAACCCGATAGACAAGATCAAGTCATCTTGCTCCACAACAATGATAGGCCCTATTTTGCCCAAGTCCTCAAAACAGCACTCCAAGAGCTTGAATGGGAGGTTCTTCAGCATCCACCGTACTCTCCAGATCTTGCACCGACCGACTATCAACTTTTCCGCTCTCTATCAAGCCAAATGAGGGGTGTTACCTTTGATGGCAAAGAGGATCTTAAAAACTGGCTCAACAACTTCTTCCACACCAGACCGATCGATTT